GTTTAATATTCCGATCAACTAATTTTAAAACTTTGCACTCCATAAGGTATTTCTCCAGTGTCACCATATTAGTTGATAATGAGTGAATTAAACTTTCTTTCTCTAGATGAACACTCTATACGAATATAAAACAAAACTAAGTCCGAATTTCTTTTCTATACTCTCCAGGCTGGTTTCCTTTTAGGAGAGGAAGGTTTAGGATGGAGCAAATTCACACTATCAAATTCGATGTGTGGAATGACTGGGCAGTTGAACTGTTTCACTGTCGCAAGGTAGAAGTAATTTTTGCATCATTAGTGAAGATGCTATAAAGGCACTGCTGTACCAAGGGAGACATGGAAGAAATCCCAAAGGGTCAGAATGTGGCTCTCTTGGTCCATCACAAGAAACTACAGCTGCTAGTCAATATATGCTCTAAAGTCAGAAAAAAAAAAAGCTTCATATTCTCCAAGGTGACTACAACAAAGAAAAATTGGCAGGAGATACTCAATAGATACTTAAATCTGCCTCTGAGTTGTCTCAATCAAATTATAAATCTTTTGATTCTTCAATGTAACTGTTTCTGCTTTGGTCTCACCAGGTTTGAGAGGAATAATAGAAATAATAACCGTCAGGTAACATAATATAGTCACTAAGTCCTCCAAACGAGTTTTTTTTTTTAACATCTTTATTGGGGTATAATTGCTTTACAATGGTGTGTTAGTTTCTGCTTTATAACAAAGTGAATCAGTTATACATATACATATGTTCCCATATCTCTTCCCTCTTGCGTCTCCCTCCCTCCCACCCTCCCTATCCCACCCCTCCAGGTGGTCACAAGGCACCGAGCTGATATCCCTGTGCTATGCGGCTGCTTCCCACTAGCTATCTACCTTACGTTTGGTAGTGTATATATGTCCATGCCTCTCTCTCGCTTTGTCACAGCTCACCCTTCCCCCTCCCCATATCCTCAAGTCCGTTCTCCAGTAGGTCTGTGTCTTTATTCCTGTCTTACCCCTAGGTTCTTCATGACACTTTTTTTCCTTAAATTCCATAAATATGTAAATATGTGTTAGCATACGGTATTTGTCTTTCTCTTTCTGACTTACTTCACTCTGTATGACAGACTCTAGGTCTATCCACCTCATTACAAATAGCTCAATTTCGTTTCTTTTTATGGCTGAGTAATATTCCATTGTATATATGTGCCACATCTTCTTTATCCATTCATCCGACGATGGGCACTTAGGTTGTTTCCATCTCCGGGCTATTGTAAATAGAGCTGCAATGAACATTTTGGTACATGACTCTTTCTGAATTCTGGTTTCCTCAGGGTATATGCCCAGTAGTGGGATTGCTGGGTCATATGGTAGTTCTATTTGTAGTTTTTTAAGGTACCGCCATACTGTTCCCCATAGTGGCTGAACCAATTCACATTCCCACCAGCAATGCAAGAGTGTTCCCTTTTCTCCACACCCTCTCCAGCATTTATTGTTTCTAGATTTTTTGATGATGGCCATTCTGACTGGTGGGAGATGATATCTCACTGTAGTTTTGATTTGCATTTCTCTAATGATTAATGATGTTGAGCATTCTTTCTCATGTGTTTGTTGGCAGTCTGTATATCTTCTTTGGAGAAATGTCTATTTAGGTCTTCTGCCCATTTTTGGATTGGGGTGTTTGTTTTTTTGTTATTGAGCTGCATGAGCTGCTTGTAAATTTTGGAGATTAATCCTTTGTCAGTTGCTTCATTTGCAAATACTTTCTCCCATTCTGAGGGTTGTCTTTTGGTCTTGTTTATGGTTTCCTTTGCTGTGCAAAAGCTTTGAAGTTTCATTAGGTCCCATTTGTTTATTTTTGCTTTTATTTCCATTTCTCTAGGAGGTGGGTCAAAAAGGATCTTACTGTGATTTATGTCATAGAGTGTTCTGCCTATGTTTTCCTCTAAGAGTTTGATAGTTTCTGGTCTTACATTTAGGTCTTTAATCCATTTTGAGCTTATTTTTGTGTATGCTGTTAGGGAGTGATCTAATCTCATACTTTTACATGTACCTGTCCAGTTTTCCCAGCACCATTTATTGAAGAGGCTGTCCTTTCTCCACTGTACATTCCTGCCTCCTTTATCAAAGATAAGGTGACCATATGTGCCTGGGTTTATCTCTGGGCTTTCTATCCTGTTCCATTGATCTATCTTTCTGTTTTTGTGCCAGTATCATACTGCCTTGGTTACTGTAGCTTTGTAGTATAGTCTGAAGTCAGGGAGCCTCATTCCTCCAGCTCCGTTTTTTGTTCTCAAGATTGCTTTGGCTATTCGGGGTCTTTTGTGTTTCCATACAAATTGTGAAATTTTTTGTTCTAGTTCTGTGAAAAATGCCAGTGGTAGTTTGATAGGGATTGCATTGAATCTATAGATTGCTTTGGGTAGTAGAGTCATTTTCACAATGTTGATTCTTCCAATCCAAGAACATGGTATATCTCTCCATCTATTTGTATCATCTTTAATTTCTTTCATCAGTGTCTTATAATCAAACGAGTTTTAAATAACAAAACAATATAGCTACATACTGGCTTGTGATTTTTTTTTTTACTCTCCACATTGACTTAAATTTAAAGTAGTAATGGAAAACTAAAATAAAAATTACAACAGAAAGGAATGTTCTTATTTTAAAAATAAGTATATTTGGAAAAGGGGCTAGTGGAATAAAGGGCTAAAAAATTAGCCTTTATATAAGCAACTCTCTGATACTGAAGGCAGCATTAGTCAACTAAACACAGTAACAGTGACAAACACCACATTTTAAGGGTGTTCTCTATAGCAATGACAACAGTAATTCAATAGCTGAAATACAGCCAAAATAATCTGTAAGTCATCTAGGTGTTATCAAAAATCACCCACCAGGGACACTTCCCGGGTGGCGCAGTGGATAAGACTCTGTGCTCCCAAGGCAGGGGACCTGGGTTCGATCCCTGGTCAGGAAACAAGATCCTACATGCATGCCACAGCTAAGAGTTTGCATGTTGCAACTAAGGAGCCCTGGAGCCACAACTAAGGAGTCCACCTGCCAGAACTAAGACCCAGTGCAACCAAAAAAAGAAAAAAAACCAAAATCCACCAGAGTACCCCTTCCTTCCTTCCTCCCTCCCTTCCTCTCTCTCTCTCTCTCTCTCTCTCTGTCTGTCTGTCTCTCTCTGTCTCTTTCTTTCTTTCTTGCCACGCTGCAGCTTGTGGGATCTTAGTTTCCCAACCAGGGATCGAACCTGGGCCCCTGGCAGTGAGAGCGCCAAGTCTTAGGCACTGGACCGCCAGGGAATTCATCAGAGTATTATTTTCTAAAATGTGTGAACCTTGTTTTGGGTCGAACTTCTATAGAAAGGAATCTTAAGATTAAGGCAGAAATCTAGAGTACTGCCTGGGTTCAGAAGATACCTGAATACTTAACAGTTTATAATCCAAGAGACTATTAGAAAGGACTACAAGGGCTTCCCTGGTGGCGCAGTGGTTGAGAGTCCGCCTGCCGACGCAGGGGACACGGGTTCGTGCCCCGGTCCAGGAAGATCCCACATGCCGTGGAGCGGCTTGGCCCGTGAGCCATGGCCGCTGGGCCTGTGCGTCCGGAGCCTGTGATCCGCAACGGGAGAGGCCACAACGGTGAGAGGCCCACGTACCACAAAAAATAAAAATAAAAAATAAAAAAAATAAAAAAGGACTACAAGCTTGCACTAGTGCCATATTCCTTTTGCTTGAAATAGTGACAAGTCATAAGAGAGTTAACATGTTTCTATTGTACTTATTCTAGAGAAGGAGAACTAATAGCTGTACTTCCAATACTTGCATGTGACACAATCATACGTGTACGAATATAGAAAAAAATATATAGTACATACACACATGCACACAAATACATATTCTGTGTAAGCAAGAAAGCAAAAAAAAACCCCAAACACTAAGTTTACTGAAATAATATTTCCCCTAAGATCACTTTCCTGGAATTGTATAATTGAGAAAAGCTTATTACTTATTACTCTGAAAAAAACAGTACAAATACTTCAAACTCAAATGTCTAGACCATTTGGCCTAGAATCACAATACAAAAGTCAACTAAAAATCTCAGATATGCTCTCTAATTTGTTTTTTCTATTTCTACTAATGAAGAATAGGATTTTAACTTTTTCCTAGTGTCAAAAGCTAAATTGGTCAGAATCAAGTATAAAGGATTTTAGGTTGGAAAAAGACAATATTTGAGAAAAACAAGTGTAAAATCCAACTTTTTATAAGAACATAACTGATTAAAAACTCCAACATCTACTTAAATCTACAGTATATGATTGTTATTGATAGGAAATGAGCTGTTTGCACCCCAAGATATTTTATTACAAGATAATAATCATTCTTAAGATGATAAAGTTCTAAAGTTAAATCAAAAGCACCAAATCAGAAAAAGGCTGTGATCTAACTACTTTTACATTCCCTAAGAGCTTTGGCATTTTCCTGAGTTTTACTGTGTAAATATGACAAAACCATACACCACTTCTGCCACAAAGACAAAAGCAATTACTCCATTAAACAATAATATTTTAAAATGTGAGGTGACAAAATAAAGATTTATATTCAAGTACAATCTTGAAGGAAAGAAGTGGAGGAAGAATTCTTAGTTTTAAAAGAGACAACAGTTCCTTTTCAGTAGTCTTCAAAGAACATAAGAAAGATGAAGCTTTTGGAGCCTAGCTTTTGGAAATTCAACTTGATGTAGTTCTCTATAGGCAAAAGGACGAAGATGTGTAAAAATGTAATTCAGGTAAAAGATGTCATGTTGGGGCCATTCACTCAGCCCTAATTTAGTGATGCCAAATTCATTTTTATATTTTAAAGGAGAAAAATTCAACTTAGATTGTTTAATGTTTATCCATAAATGTGAAGGCTTTCATGAAGGCTGACAAACCAGCCTTATAAATTTTTCTGCCTGGGATCAAATATCAACTAATCATCTGGCCAGTTAGAGAAATTAAAAAGTAAGACATACATGTAGGCACACACAGAATAGTTACCTTCAGTTGATTATTGAAAATATCAATCTCCTGTAGTTTTGATCTGGTTTCTTTCTCCACTTCATCCAGTTGGTCTCGTAGCTGCTGCCGAGCTAGTTCTTTTGCTTCTAAGGCTCTTTTGAGTGTAAGAAGTGAATCTCCTGTTTTAGAAAAACATCGCGAAATAAGAAAAACAAACTGGCAGTGAGGAAAAATGGTTTTTAACGTTCTCATTTCAATTACGAAAATTATTGCCAGTAAAAAGGGAAAAAGCCAACTTTTATAAAACACCTACTGTGCAAACTGTTCTGCTGAACTTGTTTTAATTGGTCACTGAGTATCTGTTTTTCTGGAATAAGTCTTCCAAGCATTTGTTGAGACTCCTAGGAGAGAAAGAGAACACAGCAATGAATGATGGAGAAAACTACCATGTTTCCTCATCCCTCAAAGACTCTCCTAATCTCAACCTGAATCCTCTACAGTGAAACTGTCAGGGTGGTTTCACAACTCAGCAGAGAAAATGGAAAGCAATGGTCTCTCAGTTGCACTGGGATCAAATGTAAATGCAGTGACCCTGCTGTTTGCAAACTGACTCAGTAGTTTAAACAGGAACTGTTCTGTCCTGAACTTTGAGCCTTAATAGGGTTGAACTGGATTACCATACACCTGAAGTTGGAAACAGAAATCAAAAAAGGACTTTTAACAATTAGAATCTTAGCTGCCATATATGTTTATCCAACACTCAGGAGAGAGGCACAATTTTAAACAGCTACACAAAAATCTTGAACCAACTATTTTTTAACTGACATAGATAAAAGCTAAACCACATTGTACAAGGCTATTTGGAGTTTTCATGGGTGACTTGACAAGCAATTGTATTTGCCTAAGTTCAGCTGAAATTATTCAATATAGTTTCTAAACATTTTAGAAAAAGGACAGATTTTCCAGGCTTTATTAAGGAATATTTGACTTTTATTTTTACTTTGATTTGAGAAAAAAATCTCTGTGTATTAACTTTTGGTTTGAAAGAATAAAAATGTCAATTAAAAATTTTCACTAGAGGCTAAGAACCAGTCCCTTTCTGGAACAACCACCTTTAGATATAGACTGGCTTGTGTGTAATAAATCTTTGTGTACTATATGTCTAAACAGTAGATACAGCTCAATGGAGAGGATTTGGTAGCATCTTCTCATATGAATAATCCACACAAACACATATACCCCCCATCCCCCCAAATTTGAACAAAACAATACAAAAGTTGATCATTTTCCCAAAAAAGCATAGCCAACTAAGCTTCTCCTCTTGTCCTCCTTGCTAAATTAAGGCAAGGCCACTTACCCAATCCCAAAGATTCTTTCCTGAACCAGGACAAACAAGGAAGGATCAAGATGAAGCCTGGCTCAGATCACTCAGATTGTTTCACTTATTTAAACATTACTTTTAAATGGACTACCTGAGTTTCAAAAATAGGTCAAACCAATATGAAGGGCTACCTGACTCATTTGCAGAGCAAGAATTTGCTAATTACTGTAAAGAAAGGAAACAGATTTCTCACGGCCTACTATGTACCTGCCTTTCTTCAAACCATGTATTATTTTTAACTTCACTACTTTTTCAGGAACCTTGATTGGTATTTTATTATCAATAACTGAATATACTAAGCATTAATCTTAAGTAATAAAAATATGTTTGGACACAGAGCATTCAGTGAGATAATAAACAAACACATGGCCTTCACTCCTAAATTTTCAACGGAATAGTTTATGAAACTTCTCATAAATAGTTAATGAAAGACACAGAAAAACAGTTACCACAGAAAAGAATATACTTTTAAAAGGTGCATGCATTTTAAAATATTTTCAAACAATTTCTAGCGGTGAACTTCTGATACTGTTTACATTATATGTCATATCCTAATATCTCAAATTGATTAGGACTTCAGTGATAATCAGTAAGGACACAGAAGACACGAACGACATCATGAATCAACTTGATTGACTGACATTTACAGGACACCCTACCCAACTTCAACAGAGTACACATTCTTTACAAGTGCACATGGAATATTCACCAAGACAGATCAAATGCTGGGCCATAACATAAGTCTCAATAAACTTAAAAGGGTTAAAATCATACAGAGTATGTTCACAGATCATATCATAAATAAATCAGAAATCAGTAAGTCAAATGGAAAAAAAATCCAAGCATTTGGAAACTAAACAGCATAATTCTAAATAATCCATCAAAGAAATGACAAAGGAAATTTTAAAAAAGGTTTTGAATTGAGTGGATTTAAAAATACAACATATTCATATGGCTATGACAATGCTTTGAGGGAATTATATAGCTTAAAATGTTATACATTATCAGAAATGAAGAAAGATCCAAATTCAATAATTTAAGCTTCCTCCTTACGAGGCTAGAAAAAAGCAAATCAAACCCAAAATAAAGAGATGGAAGGAAATAACAAGAAGCCTAAGTCAATGAAATAGAAAACAGACACACCACAGAGGAAAAAAAAAAATCTATAAAACCAAAACCTTTTTTAAAAAAATCAATCAATAAACCCAGTATGCTCCTAGCTAGATTGATGGAGTAAAGGAGGAGGAGGGGAAGGGAGAGGAGGAAGAGATTGTAATCAATGCAGTTAAGACAAAAAAAGAAATAAAAGGTGTATAGACTGGAAAAAAAAAGTTATGGTGGCACAGTGGTGAAGACTCCATGCTCCCAATGCAGGGGGCCCGGGTTCAACCCCTGGTCAGGGAACTAGAACCCACATGCACGCCACAACTAAGAGTTCACATGCCACAACTGAGGAGCCCGCCTGCCACAACTAAGGCCTTGCCACAACTAAGACCTGGCGCAACCAAATGAATAAATAAATATTAAAAAAAAAAGAAAAAGAAGAAATAAAGTTATCCTTATTCACAATGTTTATGCATGTAGAAATTCTAAGGAAGCTACAATAAAGCTATTAGAACTAATAAATGAGTTAGGCAATATCACACATATAATGTCAATATATGAAAATGAATTCTGGTTCTATATACTGGCATCAAACAACTGTAAATTGAAATTAAAATATGTAATACACAATAGCATCAAAAACCTTGAAATAATTAGGGCTAAACTTTACAAAATATGTACAAGACTTGTACACTGAAAACTACAAAACACTGCTGTAAGAAATTAGTAACAACCCAAATAAAATTAAGAGATATACTATTAAGATTCACACTCACATATTGTTAAGATGTCAATTCTTCCCATACTGATCTATAAATTCAATGGAATTCCAATAAAAACTCTAAGTACTTTTGTAAAAACTGACATGATGATTTTAAAAGCTTCTGTGGAAATGTAAAGGACCTAAAATAGCCAAAATAATTTGAAAAAGAAAAATATTGAAGAACTCATACTACCTGATTTCAAAAATTATTATAAAACTAAAATTATCAACAGAGTGAAATACTGGTGAAAGGATAGACATAGATCAAAGGAACAGAAGAGAATCTAGAAAAGATTTTTTACAAATGTGGTTAATTGATTATCAACAAGCTACCAAGGCAATTCAACGGGGGAAAAGGACAGTGTTTTTAATAAATGTTGCTAGAACAACTGGGTGTTGGTATGGAAAAAAACGAACCTCACCCCCTACCTTACACTTAAGTAAAAATGAACCTGAAATGGATCACAGACCTAAACATGTAATATAAAAGGGTAAAACTTCTGGAAGAAAAGATAAGAGAAAACATCCGCAACCTTGGGATAGTCAAAGATTTCTTGCATCGAACACGGAAAGTATAAACCATAAAAAAAAAATGAATAAATTGAACTTTCCCAAAATTAAACACGTCTGCCCTTTAAAGAACACCATTACAAAAATGAAAAGGTAAGCCACAGACTGGGCAAAAATGTTTGCAAAACATCTATCTGACAAAGGACTTCTGGGACTTCCCTGGTGGCACAGTGGTTAAGATTCCACGCCCCTAATGCAGAGGGCCCAGGTTCAATCCCTGGTCAGGGAACTAGATCCCACATGCATGCTGCAACTAAGAGTTTGCATGCCACAACTAAGGAGCCGGCAAGCTGCAACTAAGGAGCCCTCTTGCCACAACTAAGGAGCACACGTGCCGCAACTAAGGAGCCAGCGAGCCACAATTAAGGAGCCTGTGAGCTGCAACTAAGGAGCCTGCCTGACACAGCTAAGACCCGGCACAACCAAATAAATAAATATTTTTTTAAAAAAGGATTTCTTACAAGAATATATAAAGAACTTTGATAATATGCTAAACAACCTACTAAAAAGTGAGCTAAAGATTTTTTCACAAAAGACACACAGAAGAAGATGCATACTAATACACATATGAAACAATGATGAACATCATTAGCCTTCAGGAAAATGTAAATTAAAGCCAAATGAGATATTGTTACACACCCACCAGAGATGTTAAAATTAAAAATAATGGCAATACCAAGTGTTGACAAGAATGAGGAACAACTGAAGGACTCATACACTCCTGGTGAGAATGTAAAATGGTACAACCACTTTGCAAACAATTTGATAGTTTCTGATAGGGTTAAGCACATACTTACATGACACAGTAATTCTACTCCTAAAATTTAACCAAGAGAAATAAAACACATTTCCACATAAAGATGTGTAAGTAAATACTCATTGCAGCTTTATTCATAGAAGTCCCAAACCAGGGACTTCCCTGGTGGCGCAGTGGTTAGGAATCCGCCTGCTGGTGCAGGGGACACGGGTTTGATCCCTGGTCCGGGAAGATCCCATGTGCTGTGGAGCAACTGAGCCCTTGCACCACAACTACTGAGCCTGCGCTCTAGAGCCCGCGAACCACAACTACTGAGCCCACGAGCCACAAATACTGATCCCGTGCACCTAGAGCCCGTGCTCTGCAACGAGAAGCCACTGCAATGAGAAGCCCACACACTGCAACAAAGAGTAGCCCCTGCTCGCTGCAGCTAGAGAAGACCTGCACGCAGCGATGAAGACCCAACGCAGCCAAAAATAAATTAAAAAAAAAAAAACAGTCCCAAGCTGGAAAAAAACCTACATGTCCCTCAACAGGTGAGGGGATAAATAAGGAAATACTACTCAGTGATGAAAAGGAACAGACAACTGATTCACTCAACAATATGGATAAATCTCAAAAAAAGCATGCAGAGAGGAAGAAGCTGAAATAAAAGTCACAGTGTTCAAGGGACTTCCCTGGTGGTTCAGTGGTTAAGAATCCACCTGCCAACGCAGGGGACACAGGTTCGAGCCCTGGTCCAGGAAGATCCCACATGCTGTGGAGCAACTAAGCCGTGCGCCATGGTTCAGTGGTTAAGAATCCACCTGCCAACGCAGGGGACACAGGTTCGAGCCCTGGTCCAGGAAGATCCCACATGCTGTGGAGCAACTAAGCCCGTGCGCCACAACTACTGAGCCTGTGCTCTACAGCCCGTGAGCCACAACTACTGAGCCCGCGTGCCTAGAGCCTGTGCTCTGCAACAAGAGAAGCCACCCAATGAGAAGCCTGAGCACCGCAATGAAGAGTAGCCCCCATTCGCCGTAACAAGAGCAAGCCCGCGTGCAGCAACAAAGACCCAACGCAGCCAAAATAAATAAATAAATAAATAAAAAGAAAGAAAGAAAACGTCTCTGAGAACACAGAGGTTTTAAAACGACTTACAAAAAAAAAAGTCACAATGCCCAAAACTGATCATCTTTCATGATGATATACAGAACAATATCTACATGAATTTGATGCCCCCCTAGCTCAACACTTGAAACCAAACCAGGTGATACTGTAACAACTTGGTGGTCAAGGTTGGATAGGTAATAAAATGAAAGCAGAACTGCTTAGAGTACTCCACTGTGTCGCCAACTGTTGTGTATACATACATTTCTGGAACTCTCCCTAATATACTTAACGGCACTTCTTTATCGTGCTTATCACGGTAAAGCCAAAGTCCCATGAATGGACTATAGGTCCCGTGTGATCCGGCTCCCACTTGCTCCAACCATAGTGGTCTCCTTGCTGTAAATGGCATCCCAGAGACCAGCTACAGCCTCAGGTCTTCTGCACTATTGTTTCCCTACCTATAACTTGCTCTGCCAGATATTCACATGGTTCAGCCACTCATCTCTGTTAAGTCTTTGCTCAAAAAGCATGTTCAGAGAGAGGCCTGTCCTGACCACATTACTCAAAATCACAGTTCTCCTTACTACTGGGGACTCTCTTCCCTACTCGCGCTCCAGAGCAACTTTTCATCTTCTAACAGAGTCCATACTTGTCATTTTATTAGTGCTTGTCTCCCCTGCAAACAGAAGGTAAGCTCTGTGAGGGCGGGGTTCCCGTCTCTGCTGTCCACTGCTGGATCCTCAGTGCTTACCAGAGCTTGCATTGAGCTGGCATGCAGCAGTCTCAGCAAGTGTGCTGAGTTACTAGACAACCTATTTTCAGGCAAGGACCTTGTATACTTCATCTTGGCTTCCCAGCGCCTATTAGATGCTTGATGTTTGTTGAGTGAATAAATGAATGAGACGAATCAGAGAAAGGCATGTAAGCTTTTAAGGGACATATTTTCTCACTTGTAATTGTTGCTGTAGGTGGGTGATTTCAGCAATTCTCAACTCTCTAGATTTGTTTGTGCTCTCAATTTCTTGCCTTTGGGTTGTCAATCGACATCTGATATCTTGAAGTTTTCCTTCTAGTTGATGCTTCTTATCATTCTTCAACAAATGAAAAATAATAAGAATTATTAGCATTTTAATGGTTTAATGTAAGTAGATTCCCAAAGCATAATCAAACTACTCACTAGAGCTTCTAATTCAAATTCCAAAGTCTTTTTCTTTGCTTTCAGCACAACTATGTCCTCTTGTTCTTTGTTTCTTTGATTTAATAGTTCTTGTCTTCGATTCCGTTCCCATTCAAGCTGTCGTTGCCTTTCAAGCTCCCGTTTTGCAGCCTATGACATACACAAACAGACGATTTATTAATTGTTCAGTTCTTACACTCTTCAAGGTCTCTTAGTAAGCATTACATCTAGTAAGTCTTTTCTTTTAGGGGTGAAATATTATTAAACATTACAAGAAATTTTTATTTTAAAATAGCAGAAAAATTTTATACAAATATAATATTCCTTCTATGGGAAAACAGGGAATATTCAGAAAGGCTATTATATTTACATGAGCTGAGAACAGACTGGATTGTTTCACCACTGACATTCAATTCTTTACGCCGCTAAGGATGCTTGGTGTGCTAAAATAAGCTGCTCTTCCTTATTTACCGACTCATAAAAACAAGGAAAATTAATCTAGTAAAATCAAACCCAAAACCCCAGAACAAAAAACAAAACAAAAACAGCTTTCTGCCATCAAACAAGTAATTATTATTTCTTCTGTCACATGAGAGATTATTATTTGTCTCAAGCTTTAAAAGTTTGTGACCCCCATCTCCCTAATCATTCATTTCCTTTTTAGCACAGAAGGTTCTGTAATTTCTCTGGCAATGTCAGCTCTCTTCAACGCTGACTCTGATGGCTGCTAGGCAGAGTAACTGTGGGAGCACCAGGCACTCTTTATCGTATTGTAATTGCTTCTTACATACCTGTGCTCCAACTACACTGTAAGGGCCTGGAGGACAGGTGGAGTTCCTATTTATCACCGTATCTCCAGGGACTATCAATGCCTGGCACATGGTAAATGTCAATTAAATAATCCCGAATAAACACTCTAAAATACTTTTATTTTTTTTTAAAAGAACATTGAAGACGGAAAGGCTGTCTACCTTTTGGTTGTCATCCTGGAAATGAAAATCCTGTTAGTATCTGTGTGTGTCTGCCCGAATGAAAGGGAGCTTATAGCTACAAGTTTTCTAAAGCAATCATCAGGAGATGAAACCAAAGTATTATTTTTTTATAAAGACAAATCCCCCATCTTTAAAATACATTTTATCCACACAAGAGAATCATGTCATTGCTTCTGTAACAATATACTAGGACTTCCCCGGTGGCGCAGTGGTTAAGAATCCGCCTGCCAATGCAGGGGACACAGGTTCGAGCCCTGGTCCAGGAGGACTCCACATGCCATGGAGCAACTAAGCCCATGCACCACAACTACTGAGCCTGCGCTCTAGAGCCCGCGAGCCACAACTACTGAGCCCGTGTGCCACAACTACTGAAGCCTGTGTGCCTAGAGCCCATGCTCCGCAACAAGAGCAGCCACCACAATGAGAAGCCCATGCACCACAACAAAGAGTAGCCCACACGCAGCAATGAAGACCCAATGCAGCCATAAATAAATAAATAAATTAATTAATTAATTTAAAAAAATACTAAAATTGGAAAGACAGACAGGAGGTAGGCTTGGCCCCTATCCAGGTATGGCACCAAATTTAGGAAGCCATCCATAAAATACAGTGAAGATTACTAGACATATTTTCTAAAGTGGAAAAAGAAAAAGATGCAGAACAATAAAATTAGTGTGATACCATTACAGTGGTTTCATAAAACAATTTCAACTAAACCTTCAACCTCTCCACCATATAACCCTTTTTGTTTCTATATTTGTATGTGAATGCAGAAAAAAGGCTAGAAAAAAATACTTAACTGCTATCAATGGTTTGTTACAAGACTGTATTATCAAAAACTTGTACATGAATGTTCATAGCAACAGTATTCAAAATAGCCAAAAAGTAGAAACAACCCAAATGTCCACCAACTGATGAATGGATAAATTTAAAATGTGGTCTATCCATATAATGGAATACTATTCAACCACAAAAAGGAATAATGATTCATGCTACAACTTAGCACGAAAACATGCTAATCGAAAGCCAGACACAAAAGGCCATATATTATGTGAATCCACTTATACAAAATGTCCAGAACAGGCTAACCTATGGAGAGAGAAAGGAAATTCGCGGTTGTTAAGGGCAGGAGGAGGGGGAATGGGGAGTAACCGCTTAATGAGTAAGGAGTTTCTTTTGGGGGTGATGAATTAGTGGTGACGGGTGCACAACTTTGTGAATAACTAAAACTACTGAATTGTAAAAAGAAAAAAAAGACTGTTAATATATTACTTAAACAGCTCTGGAAGAGCACGCGTATTCATGACGGGGCTGCTCCCCAGCTGCTCACCTCTCGCCTCTCGATTTCTTTCCTGCGCTCCTCCTCTCTCTGACGTTCTAGCTCCCGCTGCTTTTCCAGCTGCTTCTCCAGCTCCAGTTGCCTCTTGCGCTCCTGTTCCTGGCGCTCCCGCTCCTTCCTCTCCTGCTCTGCCCTCTCCAGCTGGGCCAGGCGCTCTTGTTCTTTGCGCTGCTGCTCCAAGAGCGCTTGTCTCCGTTTCTCCAGCTCCAGATTGCCACGTTCAAAGTTCTCACGCTTCTTATCTTCAAAGGTTACTTTAAAACAAGATGTAACGATTAGGAAAAGCCATGATTTTCAACATAGTATTTTCAAAGGGAAAACTCAATGGCATATAGGAAATGTGTAGTGTACCTGCAAACCTGAACTCCCAAAGCTTCTTTCTCACCTGTGCCCTCACTGATAAGCACTATGAACATGGCCTTCACCCAGCTTCTTGCTTATATACTCTCCCTCCAGATGAACCACATCACAGTGTTCGAAATGCCAAACGCGGTTTCTGGAATAATCTTTTGACAGCAGTTCTGCATCATCACCCAACCTCCATACCTTCCCTGTCACTCTACCCTTTCCCTTTTCTATGACCTGGATTCAGCAACTGACCCCTTGCCACTTCTGTACCACGAATCTTTCCCTTTCCACCTCTTTTTTCTTTGCTTAAAACCGTGCTGTTGTGTCTTCAATTTTAACAAACAAGACAGTTTCTGAATGCAGAGGTAAGAAGGTAAGTCTCCTCCTGGGTTTCACACTGAAGAGCAGGTTGTGCCCTAATCATCATGGAAATGATACTCCGTAAATTATTTTTTCTAACCCATTACTCAGTTTCCTTCTTTGAGAACACCAATTATGAATTTTAGAACTATCCTCAGGTCAGTAATTGTTTTTCTCTGATCCTTGCTAACACTGTTTACATCCACTTTATTTTACTTTAAAAAAAAATTCCATCCACCACATCCCTTACTATGTTTTCAGCAGTGTCTATTCAGTTCTGTGTTTGCTTCACACGCTTCTCCTTGGAGCCAGCCCCAGACAAGGGAAGCTCTCACTGCCAGCCTGGGCAGCATGTCATTCCCATTGTTCCCAATCTATTTCAAGGGCCGTCACTTCACACACTGTCTTGAGATGTGTAGCTGTGAGCATCCTTTCTTGGCTTCTTCCCACATTCCTGTCTGGCCTTCACTGAAAACAGACCTTCCTTACAAACTGTAGTTAGAGATCAGAGAAGGCAAGCAAGTTTTATTTTCTTGTTCTTCTGGCTCCTTTTGTGATTTCAGAACAGGCAGCAACCATTTTACTCTGCCACCTTAAAATCGAAAGTCCCCTCCGTCAGAGAAAGGAATGAAGTAATGATACATGCTACAATGTGGATGAATCTCAAAAACACTATGCTAAGTTTAAGAAGCTGGATGTAAAAGGTCACCCACTGCATAATACCATTTATATAACATATCCAGAAGAGGTAAATCCAAAGAGACAGAAAGCAGACTGGTGATTTCCAGGGGCTGGGGAAAAGGGAGAATGGAGAGTAACTAGGTATGGCCACTGTTTTGGACCGAATGTTTTCCACCCCACCAATTTATAGGTTGAAACCCTAACCCCCAAATGGGCTGGTATTTGGAGATGGGAACTTTGTAATTCCAGTTATGATAAGGTCATGACGATGGGGCCCTCATTATGAATTAGTGGCCTTATAAGAAAAGGAAGAGAGAGCTATCTTTCTTTTTCCATGTGCACATACCGAGGAAAGGCCATGTGAGGACCTAGTGAGAATGCAGCCATCTGCAAGTCAGGAAGAGTGCTCTCACTGGGAATGGAAGTGGACGGCACCCTGATCTTGGACTTCCTATCCTCCAGAACTGTGAGAAAGAAATTTCTGCTGTTTGAGACACCCAGACTATGACATTTTATTACGGAAGCCCAAGCTGACTTAGACAGCCACTGAATTGTACACTTCAAAATGATCAATTTTATCTTAAGTAAATTTTACCTCAGTTAAAAAAAAAGAAAAAAACTGAAAGTCCCTATACATCTTTTTAATTCCAAAATCTGGCCCTATTTCTGGTACACAGAGGCACATAATAAATGGTTGTTGAAAGAAAGAATGCACTAACCAAAAACTCTAATACTGTCACATCCTGTTCAAAACTTTAAATGAATGTCTTCTACCAACAGAAAAAGAAAATTCCAAATTCTAAGGATTCCTGTCCTTATTTGCTTTAAGACTTTACTCCCATTATTATCAACCTGAAATGTTCCTCCCTTCCACTTGTAATGACCCAATTACTCTTCAAATCTCAACTCAACTGTGACCTGTTCCATAGAGATTTAATTGCTTGTGTATTTCCCAGTCTATGCCAACCAGCTATAAGTAAGCTCTGCTGTGCATCTATAATTCTGTCTTCAGGAATTTATCATACTTATGCACTGCTTTGATGATTGTTTATATGGATGTCTTAAATCCTCAGTTGTATTATAACCTTCTAGAGGGCATGGACCATGTATTATTAACATTTAGATTCTTCACTGTACTCAACACACTTGAACAAAGAACATTTTCAGTAAGCAGTTTATCACTGAACAAAAAGTAATTTAGTTGAAGAGGAGACTAGGAGAGCTAGTGTCCTGAGCAGGTCAATTATCCCCTGAGCACTTTAAGTGCAACAAAATGACACTGACAGAGTATTAAACATAAAGAGGTTCCATAATAAATTTCATTAGGGTGTCAGCATCAATTGTCATCTCATCATTAATAATTCATAGCTACCACAGAATATTTTAATAGTATGATGAATTTATCTTTGTAAATGAGGATAATTTAAATTAGGTTCACATTAAATTTAAAATAACTTCTTGTTATCAAGGAGCTTCCGATTCTATAACAACCTGAGAAAACAACAGTAGGCAATTTTACATTCTATTTCTGCACTGGTGGTATTAAGCAACCACCTTAAAGGCTTATCAGTTTTGAGCATTTTATAGATAACATTTATAAAATTTTTGTTAAGTGGTAAATAATCAGATTTCAATTTAAAAGCTAGAACAAGGGTACATTAGCAGAGTACATAATGTTCTTATTTCTGTACATATATTCAAATCCAAAAGCATATGAAAAGTGTCTCCTTTCTGACTAAGGTCAGTTAAAGAAACATAGCAAGGGCTTCCCTGGTGGCTCAGTCATTAAGAATCTGCCTGCCAATGCAGGGGACACGGGTTCGAGCCCTGGTCCGGGAAGATCCCACATGTTGTGGAGCAACTAAGCCCATGTACCACAACTACTGAGCCTGAGCTCTAGAGAGCCTGTGAGCCACAACTACTGAGGCCGCATGCCACAACTACTGAAGCCCACGCACCTAGAGCCTATGCTCTGCAATAAGAGAGGCCACCGCAATGAGAAGCCCGCGCACCGCAACGAAGAGTAGCCCCTGCTTGCCACAACCAGAGAAAAGCCTGTGCACAGCAACAAAGACCCAACACAGCAAAAAAATAAAATAAATAAAATTTAAAAAAAGAAACATAGCAAGAATGTCAAAAGCTAAATTTATCGTTACCTCCATCTTTGCCTTAGAGATAGAAAATCTCTAATATGCTATAATTCAAATCTAAGGACTGTCTTACCAGGTAATTTCTTTTCTAGTTGTTGCTGTTCATCTTCTAAAACTGGTTCCTCTGGTAACCTCTGATCTACTGAAGTTGAGCTTATGACAGATATACCACTGCCAGATCGAACTCTTCTGCAGTTGTGGAAAAAAAGAAAAAAAGAAGAAAAATAAAAGGATTCATGTAAAGCTGTCTAGGTAGAATTGGGTAAATTATGAAAAAAGAAAGTTTTTAAGATTATGCTACATATCATGGAGCAAATTTCATTTTTAGTGAGGAAAAGATAAAGATTTGGTCTTCTCTATTTACAAAGAGTTTCTTAAAAATGAGTATCTGAACATCATCAGACTCTGAGTGCCATATTCATTCAAATGTTTAGAACCATCACCAAAAGTAGGACAATTCCAAAGGATTAAATCAATGAACAATTGTCAAGTGGTTAGAGAAGTACCTTGGACATAGTAAGTGTTTGCTGTTCCGATCATAACCCTCCTATGAAACATTAAATTTCCAAGGGAAGATTAGCAGCTCAGCTAATTGAGAGCATCTTTTTTTTTTCCCTTTACAAAGTCTCTCCATGTTATCTCTTAATAAACACATGAAATGTCTATACTTTATAGTCCTTAAAACAAATCACTTAGTTTACTGTTAGTTTCACTTTACACCATTAATCTTGCTCTTTTAAACCAATCTACCTATCTTCTTTTTACGCTTTTTTATCAGCTTCCAGTGTTGTGTTTCTTGTAGCGATTCTTGAAGCTGTGAGATTTTATGGGCAAACTGTCCAGCTACCGGTTTCTTCCTACACATTCACAGTTTTCTCAGCTCCCCCCTGCACCATGTATGTGCTGACAGTGATGGCTTCATGTTTCATACATTTATGGGGACTTTTCCCCCAGTCCTTCCCGTGAGGAATTAGGACAGAAATTCTCATCTGTGCTTCTTTTGTTCTTCTTTGTACTCGTAAGATCTCAAATTCGTCTTTTGAGTTAAAGCTTTGAGACACAGTTGTCCAAGAGGGCTGTGTATGCGTGGTTGTGTGTAGGCGGAGGATACCAGTAACTGCAGAGTCTTCCCAATTGGACCCTGAACTACCCTCTCAATGTCTCCACCGAGGTTATGTTTCAGACCACGAAAATTTTCTTTAATTATCTTCCTGATTATAATTTCTACATTGCCAGCATTTCGTTACCTCTGTCTGCAATGTGTAGAATTCATAGGCAGAATCTCCTTGCTTTATTTTCTATGTACAGGTTGATATCATTGCACTTAAACTGCTAAAGTTTTGGGTGAGCTTTGATTATATGGATTGTCTCAAAAATCACAAAATCTGTGATGTTTTACTTGACTGTTTTACTAATATCCTATAAGTACTTTAAAGAACAGAACAGGGAAAGATTAACACAAACCTACCTAAGATTTGCTTGAATTCATAGATATTTCATTTACTTGCCAAGAATAAAAAATGACTATAAGATACACAGCCAACAAAGCCAAGTTTGAAATTCACATACTCAGTGCACAATTTCTTATGAGAGCCAAATATTCCTTACCTAAAGGAAGGTGGAATGTATTCTGGGGGCAGGACTGGTGGCAGTGGTTGGCCAGACATAGCTACATCAATTAGGTGCATAGCCAGGATAAATTCTTCTGCTGTGAGTTTTCCATCTTGATCAATGTCACAAAGATTCCTATTCAACAAAAAGTTCATTGTAATCTAGTTTCATGAAAATGCATGCTTGTTACTATTCATGAGTGATTTACACGTTCTATTTTCTTATTCTGACTCTAGGCCAACTGAGTTCCTCTGTGCCTCAGTTTATAAAAATAGTACCTATTTCACACCACCATTGCAAAGACAAAACGAGACAATCCATATACCTGGGATGGTGTTCAACATTCAACAGATGTTAACTATGATTATAATTACACTCTTCTCAATCATTGCAACCCATTTTAAACGTATCATACATTCCATGTGTCTGATTTAGACTACGCTCTGCAGACTATCAGATCAGATAGTAAATATTTAAGCTTTGTAGAACACACAATCTCTATCACACTGAATTCTGCTGCTGCAGCAGGAAAGCAGCCATAGACAATATATAGAGAAACAAATGGGCACGGCTGTTTTAAAAAACAAAACCAGGTGCAGGCCAGATTCAGCTCAGTGGATCAAGCCCTGATCTAGGCCTCCAAGGGTGGATCTTTACGGCCTCCAGCCACAGAGGCAAGGTGTTTTCTGTTCCTTAATCTCAGGATTCAATCGTCACTGTTCTTCATAATCAACTTGCCCTGGTAGCTAATTAAAGTAAACAGATTTTTCTAGCAAGTCCAAGAATGTGATTTTACTTAACAACTTCTGGACAACAAAAGAGGATGCAAGACCACAACACTGTTCACTAAAATACCAATAGGACAGATGCTACACTGGGCAACTAACTGGCTTTGCTGATGAGATAAATCAAGAAACTCCTCTTAAATCTGAAATTTCCTCAGGTGGCATCAACTCTTTTTTTTTTAAGGTACAATATCCATACGGTAACATCCACCCCTTTTAGAGTACAATTCTTCGAGTTTTGACAAACACATTCAGTTGTGTAACTACTACAATGTATAGAAGTTTCATCATCACCGAAAATTCCTGTCTTTTTATAGTCACCCTTTCCTTTGCCCCCAGGCCCTGGCAACCACTGATCTCTTTTCTGTCCCTCTACCTTTGCCTTTTCCAGGTGCCAGACTCCTGTTTTTAAGTAGAACAGAGCCACAAATGAAAACCCTGCCTGTTTTACCTTGTTCTCTCTTCCTTTCCACTGCCCACTCCTAGGTAAATGCAATTAAAAGGCAGGTGGAATTCCTATTTGTTTTTTTCCCCATACTTGCCTGAAGAATGGCTGTACACATTTAATTAAATATCTTTTTATCGTGTAGAAGGAGAATATAATATTCTAGTAGGAGAAGACTCAAGTATTTTTTTCAAAGAGGGCGGGTTATAAATGAGAAACTTAAACATTTCATTATATTCTAGTGTCATGAGAACAACCAACGTGTCCATAAATGTTAGGTCTTTAGTTTTTATTCCAGAGGGCCCGAGGATACTGGTACACACCCAGACTTAAAGAGGTCTAGATGTGTCATAGATATAAGATGCTTGCTAACTGGTCTGTTATTATGCTATTGCAAGAGGCTGACCCTTTAACGCAAAGCAGAAGGGACCATAATGGGTGAAGGGAGCAGCCCTAGAGCTTGACCACTTATGAAACAACCACATCAATGAGCCTGCAGCAAAATCATGAACCTAGCAGGTAAGTGGTGTAGACCGGGTTTACCTTCCAGGTGGAATCAATGGATAATGCATAACTGAGAGATACACGCTCCTGAAGAGTGTGTATTCTAGTTAATATTTAACTAGATATTAAAATTAAATATTTAACATTCTAGTTAATATTTAAATGCAAAGAATCCTATAGGATTTCATCAATAGCTACTAAAACTCATTACAAAATAGACAAAGAGACATAAATGTACCTACTGATGAAAGTACTTGGTATCATCTCTATGTATTTTGGAGCCTGCAGCAAAATCATGAACCTAGCAGGTAAGTGGTGTAGACCGGGTTTACCTTCCAGGTGGAATCAATGGATAATGCATAACTGAGAGATACACGCTCCTGAAGAGTGTGTATTCTAGTTAATATTTAACTAGATATTAAAATTAAATATTTAACATTCTAGTTAATATTTAAATGCAAAGAATCCTATAGGATTTCATCAATAGCTACTAAAACTCATTACAAAATAGACAAAGAGACATAAATGTACCTACTGATGAAAGTACTTGGTATCATCTCTGATGTATTTTGCAAAAAAAAAAAAAAAAAAATTCAAACTTGAATCTGATGAGTGGTTCTCAACCACTGATTGATTTAGTACTGCAAAGAACATCTGTCAATGTCTGGAGACATTTATGATTGTCACAAGTGGAGGCGGGGCTCATGCTACTGCAGTAGGCAGAGGCCAGAGATGCTACTTAACAATCAAAAGTCCACAGGACAGGCCTCCACCACAGAGTCATCGGGCCTAAAATGTCAATAGCACTGAGGTGCAGAACCCTGCTCAAGATCTAATTACCAATCTACAGGAAACACAAGAATGAATTAACACCATAAGGGTGCCATCAGCTAAAGTTAGGCTATAAGAAACTATAGGACAAATGATCTGGGTTTTTCTTGTGGGGTGGGGTGGGGGAGGAGTGGAGAACAAGACAAGGGGGAGTTTATAGGTTAAAGGAGACTTAAAAGATGTATCAACCAATTGTTACAAAATATAGATTTATTTCAGTCCTAATTTGAACAAACCAGCTATAAAAAAAATTATGAGACAATCTAAGGAATTTAAACACCATCTGATTAACTTAATGATAAGAATTACTATTAACAGTTTTAAGTGGACTTTTGGTATTGCAGTCATGTGGGGAAAAAATCCCTAAGTCTTTTGGAGATACAAGCTGAAATATGTGCAGATGGAAATGATATAATGACTGAGATTTGGCTTAAAATAATTGAAAGGAGGAGGGGAGAACCAGGACAAGTCATGAGTTAAGACTTATGTAGGCTGTATTGTGAGTTCTTGAGAATTCATTATATTGATTGCTCTGCTTTTGTATTTTTCAAAATCAAAAGGGGGGAAAGCAAGAGGGGCAATCATAACAACTCATTGGAAAATTAAGCCTACTCCGTATATCTCCCTTAGAAATAACGGTATTAATCTAAAGACCCATGAGCCATATCAATTCAAGAAATACAGTTTCCTCTTTATACAAACCAAGGAACTTTTTCATTCCTTACCATATTGAAGCCAGCTGAGCCTGTGGTAAACTTGACTGCATAAGAATAGTTCTTGCTTGGGGACCTAAACAAAAACCAGGAAAAAAATATAAAGATGAATCAGCAAATCTTCACTGATCAGTGTTCTGCACATAGGTACTATGCAATCTCATGCAATCACAGTGCTTTAAACAATATTTGCTGTTACCCGAGGGGCTTTTTAAAAAGGAAATTAAGCCCCAATGAAAAAGGCAAGAAACACAAAGCACCTGGCACACAGTCAATAAATTTTTGTTAAATAGATGTTTAATGAGGAATGAGTATGTAAAGGATTAGAGTTTCAAAATATAACCTGCCCTTTTGTCCAGGTTACCATCTCTATTCGTATCAGGATTTTATTTACAAAGCTGAAACTTATTCTCTCTAAATTCAGCATCTTGGCCACCACCTGCTTCCTCCACCATGATGACTATCAAATTCAGATAAGATTCAGGGAATCTTAGAGGAGGAAGGGACCTTAGAGAGAACTCTTCTACTCATTTCATTATACAGACTATAAAACAAAACTAAACAAAAAAAAACTTGCTCAAGGTTGTATAAATGGCCAATTATCACAGCCACTTCTGAGGTTAGTGATAAAGAAGAATTTCTGGAATTTCAACTCTCTTCTCAAAATCAGCTCTCACTTCTTAAAATACTTGTATATATCTTCAGTCTGGGCATGAAACTAGCCTTAGATACCAGAAAGGCTACAATGGAAGAATCTGAATGTTTAAATAAACTAGTGTTAGGAGGAGAGAGACAAATGTCTTATGTCCATCACTGACTCCCAAGGTGTGGTCCCAGGATGACATGAAGACCAAGGAACGGAAAGTGGTAGCAACTGTGTTAGGAAGATTACCACGCATAAAATTTTGCTTGTTCTGTGGTATACTGGAATGAGAAAAGTTCACTGATCATTTTATTTAGTCTCTAACATTGTATTTAGAACGTTGGCAACATTAAAGTAGAACTAGCAAAAGTTTAGTGAATGTGTTAATTTATACTTGTAACAATTCTGCCCACTTCAGAACTATATAAAAGAAAGTTCATCTTTCATCTACTCAATAAAAAGTGTAACAATAAATGAAAAGAACTAGCCCTGGACCTGGATATCAGGACATATGGATTCCAGTCCCGACTCTTCCACTCCCTAATGACATGTGACATTAACAAAACTACTTTTAGGAAGTTCTTTTATCTCTGAAATGAGGAAAATGATCTAGAACAGGGATTGGCAAACCGCAGTCTATAGGCCATATCCAGCCCTCCACCTGTTTTTGTAAATAAAGTTTTATTGAAACATAGCCATGCCCATTCATTTAAGCATGATATACGGCTGCTTTCATACTGCAATGGCAAAGTTGAAGAGCAGTGACAGTGTATGACTGCAAGTCTAAAATGTTTTTGTATCTGAAAGGGCAAATTATAAGTATACACAAATTCTCTGTATGCCTCGCTCACTCTGCTAAAGCAGTAGCTGTCACTTTTATACATAGCATGAAAAACCAGGCCAGCTTATATGGGCACTGAAGGAATATTTAAAGGTAGAGTTTTAAGTACTGCTTAACATGGTTTGACACCAGTGTGTCATACAGACCCAGACCTGCATTGTCAGTGAATCTGAAAACATTATTTTGCTGTTTATAGAAGAAGTCTGTTGACCCCTGCACTAAAAGATCCCAACTGTCTTTTGCAATGTCTAATACTTGACTCTAAGTCCTAAGACAAGGTTGTGAAACATTAAATTAGATCAGCAACAGCAAAGATAGTAACAGGACAACATAAAAATCAAGTTCTGAGTGTACAGAACTATTCTGTAGAAGCCTACATTCATGAAAGGCAGACTGGCTTATAAGGAGACATTAAGGGAATAAACACAAATCTCAAGTTCACAAAGCCTACAGTGGGTATAGCTGTGTTTCAGTAGGGAAGCTTGAACGGAAAGAACAGAGACAATTAAATGAAGTTAATGCTTTACTTCAAACAATGACTAAGACTTTTAGCATTTTGTGATTAGCATATGAATAACCAAATAACATATGCACTGTTTCAGAATGCAAGGAGATAATCAAATACCTCTTTGAGAATAGGACTAGCAAGAATAGCGTTACCAGAATTCTAGAGCTACTTATATAATTTAGACTAGGAAGGACTCCTTCTCTCTTTTATAAGTGTCTCTTTTAAGAGCGTGCAGTAGCATATACATCAAGTTGGGAAGGAACAAGGGGGTGCCCACCTAACCAGGTGTATCAGCGAAACCAACCCAGGTAATCAATGGGGTAAACTGTGCCATTGCTAAATATTTCAATTCTGCCTCTTTCCATTCTGGGAGCTATTCTCAACTTTTTTGATATTCTTCTTAATCTTACTCAGTTCTTAAGCTGAACTGAGTAACTGCTTTAGGGGCTGAGGATTCACACAATTATTTTCACAGTTGTGATCATGAAAATAATCTTTGTATTTCATCTCAACAAAACCTGCTCTGCTTCCATCAACAGTCTTATTTAGCCTAAAACACACCTTATATTGATACCTCACAAAGGAAAAGCAAATTAAATGTCTTTTATTTACTCCTATTTTAAAATGTACTGTAATAAATTATTCTTTCTATTTGACATGACTATACAAAGATTTGAAAATGAAATTCCCACCTTAAATTCCTTCCAGGACAAAACAGTAATAAGAATACAGCTAAACAGTAGCAAAAATCTACTCATCCATCCAGTGTATTTCAAATTTTATTTTCTGCCTCAGATATTAAAAGTTCTAAATATTTAAGTTCCTGCGTCATATACCTTCTACCTGATACTATACTTCGGTCATAAAACATCCTACCAAGAAAAGAGAATTTCGGCATCAACATCGCATCTGAATACTATTTTAAGCAAACACCCAGCAAACACCAACAGTGCTTTAAAAAATGTTTTCAGATTCACTGACAATGCAGGTCTGGGTCTGTATGACACACTGGTGTCAAATCATGTTAAACAATACTTAAAACTATACTTTCGAATATCCCTTCAGTGCCCATATAAGCTGGCCTGGTTTTTCATGCTATGCATAAAAGTGACAGCTACTGCTTTAGCACAGTGAGCGAGGCATACAGAGAATTTGTGCATACTTATAATTTGCCCTTTCAGATACAAATATACGCTTATTTGAAATGACTGCTGAGATTCTTTACTGGGATAGGGTTCAGGGTTAGACCAGAACCCTTCGAAGTCTCACCCAATCCTGACATTTTTAAACGAGGATGAATTTTTCTCTTGGAAGTAAAAATTGCAATTGTAAGTGATAGGAAAAAAAAAAAAAAGATAGTAAGAATCAGAAATTTAAAATGTTTTTTGCTGAATATCACTGCTTCTCCACCCTAGGAAAATGACCCCATTCTCCCCTCCTTTCATATTTGTTAAAGAGAAGTTACATTTCCCCCCCTTTTACACTTAATGTTTGTATTGGAGATCTCTATTTTCCTTTATTAAAATTATGCTTTTCTTTATAACTCTCTAACAATTTTAAGTGTTTAACCCCTTATTAGAAAGGTTTCTGGATAGTATCATAAAATCCTTTGAATCCTTCTAATGTAGACAACAATCTTTTTTTAAATCCATAGAGACCATATGCCTTAACTCTGGCCTTTTATCCATGAAGAAATAAGATCCAAATACGTAAAGTGACCTCCAGCTGGTTAGTGGCAAAGCTAGGTTCTAAACTCCCCAACCATTTACTAACTTTCACCCTGCGTCCTGCCATAAACAGATTGAGTAGACAGTTTCAAGTTCATCTACTAAGTTGAACTTCAGAATGTGAACCAGGCTTTGTCCACAGCAGTGTTTCTTTGCAAGTGCGTTGATTTGCACAACAGTGGCATCTGGGGTGCTGGGGAATCCTTGGTCTAGGTTCTATTTACCAAGAAGCCAAAGCCTGAGGCACTGGAGAATAAAATAACTATGGCCTTATCAGTAGATGAGAACTGGAGGTAAGGGGAACAACAAAAACCCTGTTTAGAAAGAAGTACAATAAATGGAGGAAGACATCAGGAAAATCTTCAGCCCAACATCTAGAAACAATCTGCATTTAGAACAAAGATCATGTTTCACTAAATTAATTCTCATTTGTAAATACCTGTTAAGTGCCCACTCATGGTTTTGTCATGACTGTTGAATAACTGTCTGTATTTCAGTCTGGATGGCTGAGGAACAGCCCATTCAGCTGCGGGAGGAACACTGTGGGGCAAAGAGAGGAAGGAGAGGAAAAAAAGGATTAATAGTAAGGAAAAGCACATTTAAGTTCTCTAAAAACAGTAAACTAAGAACTTCTCTAGAAAACTAGATTTAACATTTTATTCACTTCCTAATCACTATTTCTGAATTTTCTATAATGATTTTTTCCATTTTTTAAGGTTATAAACCTTTCTCTCCAAACAGATAAGCTCATTGTTTTTTCCAAATCAAGGGCACACACGGCAGACCAAGTGGCTCGTTCAAGTTATATGGACAATTTACTAATTTAAAGGTTCTACAAAAGAATGGAAAATCTCCTCGGAACTGAGGTGATACAGTAATGACCAGGCTTCTCTAAACTTCTAGAACAGTCCTCTTTAGGTTCAAAAAGCAATGCTGATAGAAAACAAATAACTGCTTTTAAAGGTATTAATTCTTTAAAATGTTTAACTTTCTTTACACCAAAATACAGAATGTATTTCTTAATGAAAGGAAGTTATTTCATTCTGAGAATTTAAATGCCCAAAATGGAGTTTCCCAGAGAGAAGAGAACATTCCCAGGGCGGTTGGCAAATCAGCAGTGCAGTATGGGAAGGAGCTCTGCTTCTGACTGCAATCCAGTGCTGACCTTTCCTTGCCAATGTGCAGCTGACCTCAGGAAACCCCTTGCTGGCAGCCAGTTCGGCTGTAGACCTCCTTGGTGATCAGTTCCTCAGATTAGTTCCCACACAGTATCATGCTGGTTGGTACCCATGGCTTCTTGAGAGCCAGATGTTTCAAATGGGCAATTTAAACACGATGGCTGAGCTGGCAGTAAAAATGGCATTCCACTTCCAGGACAGATTACAACTAATGCCCCATTTGCAATTTCCTTTCATTTCAACAAAAATATCTATTTCTCACAGATTACAGTGAAATTTTAATCATGAACTGGACCTTTTAATCATCATTTATGTATGTTACCTATGCACTGATACTTACTATGTACACTTCTCAAAGCACAGAAACAGCTCCCAAACACTTGAAAAGTACCTATAAAAGTTTATCTTTTCAATTTTTATAAACTTCTTAATAAAAACATTTACCAAGTTCTAATCTGCTGTGCATACTTCTGCAACAACTCTCTCATTTTAAACTAATATTTTGAAGATTCCAACTCTTGCCTATTTGTCAAGAAGCTAATTATATCTCTCCTGCACCCCAGGAATGTAGGGTATTACACAGAAGGTGTTCAAGATTACACTTATCCAATCATAGTTTTCTGCCAAATTCCTGAGAATTTAAATGGGCCTAAAAATGCATTGACCAAAAAGTTAGATGTCACATTATAAAAACTTGCTAGAAACTTAAATTATTGAAAGGTAGCTACCAAAAAAACCCCCAGTGTTTTTATAACCGGAGCAGGACCCTATGGGGCCTTCTGGGGACAGACCCCCTCCCCTCACGTCCTTTGCCTGTCTCTCTCAATTTTTTTTTCTCAGCCTACCTCTTGTTTGTAGAAAAGCTGTAGTCTCCCAGGCCTCCCCTGAGTCAAAGGCTGACTCAAGAATTAATGATTGAAAGTACATGAACATGTAGTGACAAAAGCAGCAACTGGGCCAGGAGAACTGGTAACAATGTAAACAGTCAGCCATAAGGCAGTCACAGAATCTTTAGTTCCTCCCTGAAGTACCTAGATAACAGTATCTGATGCACATTCCTGAGTTATTTGACAGATGCTAAAACTCCACCAAAGGGAAGCTGGAGCCTAAGGATTGATAACATTAACCCCTGTGGCACTGCCCTGGTACCTCACCATCAACCAATCAGAGAACGGTGCACAGCTGATCACACATCCTGCGACTCCCTTCCCTCATCTTGCCTTTAAAAATGCTCCCCTAAAACCCATTGGGGAGCTCAGGTTTTTTGAGCATTAGCTGCTCCGGACTCCTTGTCTGGTGCCTTACAACCTGGTGTCAGTAGATTGGCTTTACTGCACACGGGCGAGCAGACCCAACATTTTAATAGCATTAATGTTGCTAATACTGGCTGTTTGTTCATTTTAATGTCACAAGTCAATTTTAAGGCAGATTTCAAAATCACTTGTGGAAAGTCAGAGAATACTCAAAGTTCAGCGTGATATGGGAGAAAGAATAGAAAACATGGAATTTAGTGTTAGATGATCTCAATTTAAATCTCAGCTCTGCTGTTTAGTAAGCTGTAAACTATGGGTGAGAAATATAACCTCTCCGGGTGTTTCTTCATTCACAATTCTGAGCCAATTACTACCCTACAGGTGGTTGTGTGGGTTAAATGGGATTAATGAGTCAAAGCAAATACTCAATAAATATTCCTGCATCCTAGGAGCAAAACCTTAATTAAATGGAACACAAATACCTGTATACCACAATTAACCGAAGTTTTCAGGGCAAATTTTAAGAACATCTGTCTTAAAATCAGAAAGATCTCAGTTCAACTCAGCCCTATCACCTAGGAGTTAAGTTATCTTGCGCAAGTCACTTCCTGTCTCTGAGCCTCCTCGTCATCTATAACACAGAAAGTCAGTCATCTTATGGGGAAGAAGGTGAGCGTTAAATGAGTTAATGTGCATAAAGCATTTGGCACAGTGTTTTTCAGTTTATGGATTGTCTTTACATTATTTTTTTAAAGGCAATGAATTATTGAATTATATTCAACATGCTCTTTTCTTTAAAGAGGAAAAATGACTCAATTCACTTAGGAAAGATTCCTAAAGAGGACTGAAACAAGAAAAGATGGAATCATCTTTTTTTTTTTTTTCTTTTTTGCGGTACGCGGGCCTCTCACTGTTGTGGCCCCTCCCGTTGCGGAGCACAGGCTCCGGACGCGCAGGCTCAGCGGCCACGGCTCACGGGCCCAGCCGCCCCACGGCACGTGGGACCTTCCCGGACCGGGGCACGAACCCACGTCCCCTGCATCGTCAGGCAGACTCTCAACCACTGCGCCACCAGGGAAGCCCGGAATCATCTTTATTTACATCTTTTCATTTGGAAAGCTTTGAGACAGCTTATCAAGAGACTTAAGTTTTTATTTTAGTACAGTAGTATGCAAGGGGAAAAAATGGGTAAAATAAAAATATGAAAGATAGTATGAACCAAGATTGGCCAAAATAGAAGCAAACAGGTCATGTAAGCTGTACCCCAAATTGAGCCACATATGAGATTTAATAACAACTGTCCCATAACCTGAATAACTCATTTCATAAAACCTGATCTAAAGTTTTACTAACAATCCACATAGACCCCATAAGATTGTCTGAGATAAAATTAGAGCCAGTTTTGGCTCTAATTTTCATATAGTATTTTTTATACATAAACTTTTAAATGACTGACACAAAACAGTTAATGTGCTTTTTTCCCTCATACCTAGAGTTCTATTTTTTTTTAACATTTACTACTACCTATTTATCATCCTCTTTAAAAAAAAAATCAACATGCAAAGCTTTCAAAGGAAAATCAGTGTTCTTGATTCTGTCATCTCTACAACAAATAAATAATAAAACCTAGTAACATTATCCAGAATTAAGAAAATTATTAGCATTCTGCAAACTAAAACAAGACAAATAAAGAACACAGAGCTAATTCACTTTCAAATGTATGAGTCAATCAGATAATGGCTGAACCAAACCACCCATTTGAAAAAACAAGCAAACTTACCTAGCCACGTCAAATGATTGGGCCTTCTGCAATTTAGTGTTTAACTGTGACCCTGGACCAGATCTACTAAAGGAAGAACTCTTTGGCAATGTGGCTGCTGAAAAAATAAATACATGTTGAGTAATTTTAATTTTACAGAAGTAAGAAATATTTCCCTATTTATAAAAATTAAAATGCATAGTTATCAAATCTGAGGCAGAAATTATTCCTCCCTTCTTACCATTCCAGACTCAAAAAGTTATTCCCTCCTTGCTTCCTGCCCTCTAGCCAAAAGTGTTTTACTAGTTCCTTCAGAAAATCACCTTACTAGGTAGTAAGGTTTACATCCATAAAATCTGACTCTTCATTAAACACTTAGTTTCACATTTTAGAGGATCTGTTCCAATAGTTAAAGAAGTAACAGCTTAAATAGATAGCTGGCATATTCTTAACTTCACTGAAGGAGCTGAGATATTAGTTCCAGATGTAAGAGCCAAGAAGTCACAGACTTGTCTTGGCCAGATGACACGTGATGCCAGGAAGGGCCAGCTTTTGTGTCTGAGTCTCATTCAAGCTGGTTAGCTGTGTGTCAGGAGAAAAACTTCGAGCCTTAACCAACATTCCGTTCAAACTTGCCCACTGTCTTGCAACATTCGCCACAAAAGAAAACAAGACACAGTGCGTGGATTCACTGCTACTACTGGAAAAATAATTACAAGCATTTTCTCAGCTGCCATCACACCTGCAGTCATGGTCTCCTATGAAAGATAAACTACATGTGAAAAGAACATCTTAAAAACAAGAGGTCAATCTGGATTCTGTGGCTATAACTTAGAGACACATCCTGACGGATGTAATAAATGCAGGGGCCTAGGCAGATTCATATATAAGGCTCAAACCCACACTGTCAGTCACTTACGAATTTATTCAGACATATCCGAAGTACTTAAAAAACAAACAAAACTTTCCATATTGATATGAATCCCTTCTGATTTGTTAGACTAAGACCATCTACATCTACACTATGCTTTTCTTTAACTAAAGGGAAAAAGACTTTGAATAAAGTCTCAATTAAGCAAGCATGTAATACTATAACCTTAATATACTTAGCCTTTCAATAGACTTCCTTCCCCCTCTATGCCTGATTCACTCCACCTCCTCAAAAAAAAGAAAGGCAATGTTCTTTTTTTTTCCTCCCACATAATTCTACTCCTAAGGGATTGGCTTGTTTATTAGCAATTCATGGCAGCTGAAGAAAAGTAGTAAATGATACATGGAAATAAAAAGTGTTCAAATACTGTTCAAACTTGAGCTGCTCTCATCAAGCCCTTGAAAGGAAATTGTGCTCTTGGTTTTAGCTGTTGAGTTCACCTCTGTGCACAATGGCACCCAAAGCTTCATAATTTCATTCTCCTTTCCCTCTCTCTAGCCTAGCTCATCCCCCAAATGAGACACTAAATGAAAGAAAAGAAAAAAATGAAGATGATTTCTTCTGGAATAAAATACCACTTAAATATAATCAGAACGTGAAGACAGAAAACGAGAATGAAGAGGAAAATACAGGTAAAAAGTTCAGCCTGTGGCTTCAGCAGGTCACGTACCAGGATGAGCAAATGCAGGCAGAGGCTGTATGACAGGGGGCGTCCCGTTAGCCAGAGGAGGCACTCCTGCCGCAGGAACAGAGGATACTAGCGGGGGAGACATTCCGACAACAGGAATGGAACCCATTGGCACTGGAGCAACAGCGGTCAGCGGTGGCATGCTGGCGATACCTCCCATACCTATGAAGGGAAAAATCGCAACAAAATTCACATGGAACCACATTTCAACATTCAAAGATAATTAATCCAGGACTGCATGGAGAAGAAAATCCCTTTCCAGTTGTAATATAGTTCCATTTAAAATATGAATTCAGATTAATCATTTTGAAGGGTAGTAAAAATTGTCAAGGATCATATCAAAAGGGCTCAAGACCCAACTTAAAGAAGGATCTACTGGCCAAAGTTGAGGATCAATAAGAATAATAACTGCAGTGGACTGAAAGCCACCAAAGAGAAATCAATTCATAAATTCACAATGATTTTTTTTTAATCCTAATTGGTCACCATAGGCAATCAATTTATTTTGAAAACTAGTACATAAAGGCAGAAAATAAACATTTATCCTGCCTTTCTTTTATATACTGAACCTCAGAGTAATCAAACATTTGATGAGAAAGTTTCTCTTTATAGAAGTATTCTAACCAAAAAATGAAGAAACGATAGAAACTAAAATAGATGTTTCTATTCTTTTAGTTTCTCTATCCTAACTTGTGATATGGTGATATAATAAGAAATATATATCTGGTCTCTGTCCCCAGGTCTTGATTCCTGGCAGAGCTCCTAAAACCCTTTTAATTTCCTGACTGACAGGAACATCTTTTGCCAAAACATTTGGTCTCAGTCCCTGGTTCCTGACACAGAGCTTTTAAGATCCTTGGAATCTCTAGAGTGGTAAGAGTATCTTTGTGTGTTTGATGTGGTGACTGATGGCTGGGGACCCCTAAATAGCTGCAGGATGGGAGCTGGTCACGGGAAAGATCAGGGCAGGATTAGAGGGTTGGAACTCTCAGCCCCACCCAACTCCCACCTCCACACAGACCTCAGGGGAAGGCAGAGGGGCTGGAGACTGAGCTAATCAAATGCCACCGTTGTAATCCATTATGCCTGCATAATGAAACCTCCATAACAACTCCTACATACCAAGGTTTGGAGAGCTTCTAGGCTGGTGAACAAATCCATGTGCTGGGAGGGTGGTGCTCCCCAACTCCACGGGGACAGAAGCTCCTGCACTCAGGACCCGTCCGGACCTTACACTATGCACCTCTCCATCTGCCTGTTCATCTGTATCCTTTATAATACGCTTTATAACAAACCAGAGAATGTACGTAAATGTTTCCCTAAGTTTGGTGAGCTGTTCTAGCAAATTACAGAGAAGGGGAGAAGAGTTTGGGGGAGCCTCTGAGTTTTAGTCAAGTCACACAGAGCACGGGTACCCTGTGGCCCATTACTTGTGACTCAAGTCTGAAGTGAGGGCCGTCTTGTGAGACCGAACCCTTAAACCTGTGGAATCTGACGCTGACTACCAGAGTTAGCGTCAGAATTGAATTTAATTATAAGATATAAAGTTAGTGTCCGGAGAGTTGGAAAATTGGTTGGTGTGGTTTTTCTGGACACAAAATTCTTGGCTGATTCTTCCCTTGAGAATCCTAAATATGTCACTCCGTTTCCTTCCGGCATGAAGCACTGCTACGGAAAAGTCTGAAGATATTCTAATTTTCTTTCTCATTAGCCATGTGTTTTCTTTTTCTTTGGGCCCAAATGATTTTTTGTCTTACTAGAAGGTATCTCAGTGTTGATCTTTCCAGGTCGATCTTCTCGGGCACAGACTATATATATTCGTTCAAATTTAGCTTCAAACCTTTTATGTCAAGAAAGCTGTCTTGAACTAGTTTTTGCCATTTGTTCTGTTCCCTTGCTTTGGTTTCCTTCTTCAGAGACCCCAACTAACCTACTCAATTCTCTTTGCCTTCAACATTTGCCGCTTTTTCTCAAATTCTTTGTATCTCTTTTTTCATTTCCTTTTCATGTTTGAAATCTTCCTCTTTTTACCTTCTATTTCCCTTCAGATAGTCTCTCTTGTGTTGCTTCTGGCTCACTCTTCATTTCCGAAATGACTTTTTCTTTTATGGCTCATTCTTTCCTGAGTGGTCACCTGATTTCTGGGGTTTTAAAACTCTGATCTATGTTAGTCTTTCATGACTCGCATCATTTTCTTAGTACCTTTCAGCTTGTTTTGAAATAGTAGGTTACTGATGTGCTGTCATCGTCCACAGGGGTGTTACTTGGCTCTTCATCCTTTTTCCCTAATAATAACCGTGTGTGGGATTTGACCCTGGCCTGATGCTGCCTGATGCTCGCTTTGATATGAGCCTTGACTCCTGGGATTTCCAGGCTCCTTCTCCTCCCCCACTTCGGTCTGGACCTTCTCCCCCTTCTGTCTCTGTGTCGGTGCCCTGCTTAATTTTTACTCCACTCCCAGTCACTTCTCCTCAGTGTGACATCCTGTCCCCAAAGGCAGCCTTGTTGGGCCAGTGCTGAGAGGTCACAGGGACCAGATCTTGCAGGTCTTCTTATTCTTATGCTCTAACATCATAATGTTTCCATTTTAAGTTACCTACTCAGCTCCTAAATTGCCACTGCAAAGGCTATCATCCTTGGACCAACTGACTGCCTTCTCTGAATGAATGAGTGTTTTCTGAATACTTCTAAATAAACACACCTACCAGAGGCTGTGTTTTAGATGCCATCCCTCCTGACGGTGCTAAGTCTCAATTCCTGAAGTTTTACCCTAAACACACCATTCCTCAGCTGACACGCTCCCCTTACAGTTAAACGCTCCCCTCTTCCAAGCCTCCAGCAGGCTCCTGTCCCTACCACTCCAAGGAAACGGTTCGTCAAGGTGAGGTCCAAGCTTGTCTTGCCGAATCCAATCACCTTTCTGTCCTATTCTTACTCAGTCCCTCAGAAGCAACTTGAACAATGGGGCACTCCCCTCCGAAACACTTTTCCTTGGCTACTAGGACACCAACTTCCTCCCACTTCACTCTGTTTCTGGCTTCTTCCCTTTCACTAGAGCTTTAAATGTCACAGACCGCCAAGGCCTGGTCCTAGGTCTTCCGCCTACTCTAAAGCTACACTCCGTCAACCTAAGTAAAGAGGAAAACTGAGGCAAACTTGAATTACCAGAAGTTGAGTTCATGCAGGAATAGCAGAAGAACTGCAATTCTGATATGCCTTTTTTTTTGGGGGGGGGGGGCATCATGCGGCATGTGGGATCTTAGTTCCCCAACCAGGGATCGACAACCCTGCGCCCCCTGCGTTGGAAGCGTGTAATCTTAACCACTGGACCGCCAGGCAAGTCCCAAGAATTGCAATTCTGGACACGCCAACTGCGGCAAGCTACAAGTGAGTCCTCTAAGGCTTTGGGGTAGGCTGGATTTATGGGCAAGGATCACAAAGAGGAGGGAATTCAATTAGAGTCCTAGCAGCAAGTTCATTGGCTTGAGGAGAAGAGACTCTTGCAGGACGTTCATTAGTCAAGGGATCAGTTTCGATTTTCTGTAAACGCCTGACCAGTCCCTTGGTCCTTAAGTTTCATTTTCCTGAGGACCCATGTATGAGATTCTCCATTTTATATCCTCTGGTTCCATTTAAGATTGAAATCTTCTCACCTCTCTCTAAGATACCATATCCAGCCCCGGGGGCTTTCAATGCCATCGCACCCAAACTCACCCGGAACTGACGGATCCCTCCTGAGTTGCAGACATACAGATTCACCTGCCTCCTTCACATCTCGACTTGGAAATCAACGAGGCCCCTCAAACTCGAAATGGTCAAAATCTGATTTATTTTTTTCTCCACAATACAGGATATCATGAATCTAATTCCACCCCATCTTCCACATTTATTATCACCACCCAGATCTAAATTACCATAACCTCTTGCCTATGAAAAAAGCCTCCTGATTTCCCTGATTTTACTCTTGTCCCCCTGCAATACAGTCTTCAGATAACACAAATGACAAAACAACAAACAAAAAATAACAACAAAGAAACAAAAATAGTCTTCAGATAACACTGATTTTTTTTTTTCTAAGTGTCTATCAACCATGTCACACCCCTGCTTAAAAGCTTTCAACTGCACCTAGACAAAAATGCTAACTCTTTAGTGGTTTTATCAGGCCCCAAACCACCTGGCTCCTGCCTTACTTCGCTGACCTTAAGGCCTAAGGATACTTCAGCTACAAGGAAGGTATCTCATTTTTGTTCCTCCCACACACCAAGCTTTGCCTTAGGACCTGTTGCTTTTGCCTGGGCGTCTTCTCCCCTCACAAGGCTCTCATGCTTAAGTCAGCTCAAAAGTTATCTCCTCGGAAAATTCTCCCCTAACCACCGGGTCCTATTTGTCTCTATCATATTACCCCGTTTTATGGAATTATTTGTTTGCTTCCCCCAACTTGTCAACAAGCTCCATAGCAACAGGAGCCACGATGCCTTGCTCACCACCATCTTCCCAGCAACTGGGACACACAATCAGGGCTTAAAAATATTGATTGGTTTGACTTAATAAAACCATGGACTCTGGCAAAAACAAAAGCAACAACCTCCCCCTGAAACGGTTGAGTCCAGAATGTAAGAAGAATGATGCTGTGTGCAAATACACTGAAGGAAGAAGGTATGAGGCATACTCACAGAATGTCCTTAAACACAGTTGGGTACCCTTAGGCAAATCACAATATCACTGCACCCCATTTTCCTCTTCTTAACAAAAATGATTATTCAACCCCTAGCCAGCCTTAATTCCACAGTGTGTTAACATTTGCATTAACCTTGGAAGAGTGACAATGCCCCATGTCACCCTCATGATTTGGTGATAAGGAAGGTGGGAAGAGAGAAGGAAATAAGGAAACCAAGAGCCTTCAGGAAAACTGAGTTTGAACAGGCTCCACCTCCCTTTCAGAAACATGGTCTCAAGCAAACTCTTCAACTTCTTGGAATCTCAGGTCTCTCGTTTGTATAAGAGAGCCAATAATCTCTGCATACTGTTAGGGTTACTGTTGTGACCAGATAAAATACTATATGTAAAGACAGACCACAGGGCTAGGAAACCCATGGTCAGATAATGTCTAATATTAATTAGAAAATAATGATAATAGTAATAAATTATGTTCTCAAGTAGCC